GAGTGTGGCAAAGCAGCACAGATTTTAAAGGAGCGGCAACAAACGTCTTAATTTTAGATCTAATGGGAACCCGTTGTCCCCTTTGCAGACATTCATTTCCAATTGAAAATGTAATGCAAATTGCTGTGGCCCACAGGACCCCGAGGATTTGGTGGACTGTAGGATCCTGTCTACATAGGGCTCATCTATACCTAGTTTCATCCTACTCAGTCTTAAAGGATCTGATGAAAATTGCCTCTCCCAGAAATTTGGGGGGCACTAGAACCAGATAGGAGGGTTGGCCTTATTGAACCAGGCGAGAAAATTCTCACAATACCAGACACTAGACGTAATTTCATAAGAACTCCAGGCCACCTTCTTCACTCCCCTTGAAAAGGTACACGGAACAGTGTCTGCTCCCAGCCCACCTTTTGCTTGGAGCAGATTTTGCTCAACAATGACACACACGGAGCCTGGACAGACCCCTGGTGCTTTCTGTCTCATCCCCACCCTTTCAGCTGAGGTGGTAAACCTGTGATGAGCTACCTTTTGTTTTCCAGTGAAAAACTTGGTCTTACTCAGATGGTCAGTAAACAGTACCCAATACAGCAACAAATGAACAATGGGAGTAGGGGTGGTGGTGGGGAGGGGGTATGTGGCCTAGTCTAGTGGTTCCATAAGAGGCTGTCAGAAGTCCTGTTCTTGTCCCCAGAAGCCTCTCTGACTCACTTTGGGCAGGTCACATTCTGTTTGCTGGATGTTTTTTGGAGTCAGAAATGTGACTGTGACTCCCTTGGCCTAGTGTTGTATGCATGCATTTCTAATGAGGGGCTTTAACTGCAAATTCAGGAATTAAAATGTTCACACAGCAAGTGAGTAACTAGCCTTTAAAGATGATGCTCAGATTTCTGACAACCGCGAGGAAGATGATGCATAATTGGACAGGGTCTAAGACATTTCTCTAGGCAAGTTACCATGTGCACTGGACGTAGAATGAATAATTTACAGTGGGTTTGTGAGGTGTCCCCCAGATACACTGAGGGTCTTTGGAGGCGTTCCCCACCCTGGGTAGAATGATTTCCCGCTTCATGGCTGTGCGGTTTGGGTCCACCGAGAAGCAGACACTAGGTGGAGTTAGGTGTGGAAGAGATTCATTGGGGGAAATGACTGTGAAGGATGGAGGGGGGGAGAGCTGGAGCGGCTGGGCCAGGTCAGTGCAGCCATTACGCACAGCAGTCACAGTGCCTAGGGAACAGGACCTTTTTAGGGGTCTACCAGAATGTTTACATTTCATTTATTTTAAAATCAAAAGAAAAATGAGTGTAACAACAGCAAACATAAGTCCTAGATTATATTTATCTTTATACCAATGCAGTTATAAAATACTATTTTAAAGTATTTTATGGAGAAAGGCACCCACACTCAGATTCCACAGAAGTCATGATGCAGTCTGGGGTGGCAGAGCCTGCAGCACAGGACGGAAGGCTGACACCTGTGAAGGACAGGGCCCGGGCTGATGGGGAGATGCTGAAGAGCCCGTGTCAGACAGCCTGGCCCTGCTCTGGTACCCCTGCTACGCTTAGTCATGGGCCGAGAACAGCCCACTGTGGTGTAGCCTTGTGGCAAATGCTGTTGAGGATGCACACACGAGTCATGTCAACCCTGGTCCGTGCAGCAAGTTCATGAATTAAGGGCATTAAAAACTTCCTTTCTAAAATCCCTGGCTGGTGTAGCTCAGTGAATTAAGCACAGGCCTGCAAAGCAGAGGATTGCGGTTCGATTCCTTGTCAGGGCATATGCCTGGGTTGTAAGCCTGTTCCCAGCAGGGGATGCACAAAAGGCAACCATACATTGATCCCTCTCTTCTTCCCCTCTAAAGTTAAATAGATAAAATCTTTTTTAAAAAGTCAAATAATTTAAAAAAAACTTCCTTTCTGGAGAACTGCTGGGTGGTGGGTGGGGTGCTGGGGGACTGGGTGAAACACAGGAGGGTGTGGGGGGGGGATGGGTGAAAAAGGTGAAGGGATTAAGAAGTACAAATTGTACTTACAGAATAGTCATGGGGATGGAAAGTACAGCACAGGGAATACAGTCAATCATACTGTAAGAACTATATATGGTATCATATGGGTACTAGGTTTACTGGGCCGATTACTTAGTTATAGAATGTCCGACCACTGAGTTATACACCTAAAACTAATATAACATTGTATGTAAACTGTAATCGAAAAATAAAAACGTATTTAAAGTAAAAAATAATTAAATACTTTAAGAGAAACAACCTCCTTTCTGCCTTTGATACTCAGGTGAGTTCTCGGTGAACAGGGCCGAGTTGCAGAGCCCAGCTGCTCACATGCACCCTGCATTAGTGGCATGTTCTGGGCGAGGCTGACTGGCCGCCAGCAGCGCTTACAGGGCATCGGGGCGCGGCCCTCCTTGCACATCAGAGGGCCTTTGATTCTTCCTTTAAAATCTCTCTGCAGAGGTGGCAAATTAGGTTTCCATCAGTCACTTCCAGCCTGCAGATTTGTTTATTTGGCACACGCACAAAGTTTTAAAAATTATGGTGAAGGGTATTGTGGGTTGAATTGTATTTCCTCCAAATTCCTATGTTGGCCCTGGCTAGTGGGGTTCAGTGGAGTGAGTGCCGGCGTGCAAATCAAAGGGTCGCTGATTCAATTCCCAATCTAGGGAACATGCCTGGGTTCGAGGCCAGTCCCCAGTGGGGGGCAAACGAGAGGCAACCACACATCAGTGTTTCTCTCCCTCTGTCTCCCTTCCCCTCTCTTAAATTTTTTTTTCTTTGTTGAAGTTCTAATCCCCCAGACTTCAGAATGTGAGCTTATTTGGAAATAGGCTTGTTTCAGGTGTGAGTTAAGGTGAGGTCATCTTACTGAAGCAGAGTGGGCCCCAGATCCAGTATGGCTAGTGTCCTTTTAAAGACGGGGAATTTGGAGACAGAGAGAGACGTGCACGGAGGGAGAACACCAGGTGAACACAGAGGCAGAGACTGGGTGATGCCAGCCAGCCACCAGAACGAGGAGAGAGGCCGGGAACACATTCTTCCTCGCAGCCCTCAGAAGGATCCAGTCCTTTGGACACCTTAATCTTGTATTTCTAGCTTCCAAAACTGTGAGGCAATTAATTTCTATTGTTTCAACCAGCTAGTTTGTGGTACTTTATTATGGCAACCTTAGCCAACCAATACGAGGATATCATTTGAAATGGGTAGATTTGTCATAAAAATCTGGAATTTGAGCTTCAGTGGAAAAAGCCTGCAGCACCGGCCTGGATGTCAGGGCATCAGCTGGGAGGAGAGGGATGGGCTCTCAGGGCGGGCTGCAGGACGGGTGATACAGGGAGCTGCCGCTCTTACCGCTGGCCACTTGCCGCAGCAAGAGAACACGGGCCCAGATTTTCTGAGTTTTCCAGAGAAGCTCGATTTCTCTCCCTCATCTCTGGTGAAATATGATTTCAAATGTTGGCAGCTAATTTACAACCCTCCTTTTTTCCTCCCTGACTCAATCCACTTTAATCGTGTACCTAATCTAGTTGGTTCCTCTGAGCATCTGAGTTTGTGATCTGTTTTTTCATAGTTGCAAGGCTTGGCGAGATGGTCAGAGAAATTATGTTTGAACAAGAAAGGTTGTTCATGGGGTTGAACAGTTCGCTAGCAGGAGAAAATGACTTTGATTTGTCCATCTTTCTCCTCTGCCTTGTGGAGGTGAGGACCTTTCTGAGACCATATCTGTGCTTTGAATAACCATTGATTGAGGGCCAACCACATACTGGGCAGTGCTAGATGCAAAGTAAGTGTCCGGTGTGTGAATGCTTGTATTCTTCCTAATGCCCTTACTCCTATTTTGCCAAGAATAAAAGGAATTATTATTAACCAGGCATAATGCACTAAAGATAAAGATACTAGGCTGTAGTTGTTCCAAGGCCAGCCCATGGAAGCTCCATGGCATAGCATTCCTCTGTCACTGTGGCTTAAATAAATTCAGACAAAATTGTTAATAACAATAGCTCCAACTTTATATAAAACAGACAATGGGGAAAACATGGTACTAGAATCTGTAATGGCATTACTGTATTTCATTATAATTATGTTAGGCAATTACAATGTGCCAGGCACAGGCTAAACATTTCACATACATAATCTCATTTCATACTCAGCGATCCAGTGAAAGAAGTATTTGATTCTTGTTCTAGAGCTCATGGCGTTGAAGACCAGAGAGACTCATTAATTTGCTTAAGGTTACAGGTCTAGTAAGAGGTAGGGCAGGATTCAAACCAGTATTTTCAATGGCCGAATCCCGGCTCTCTCCAGTCTGCCTCCCCATTTCTCAGTCTCCCCAAAATGCCTCTAAGGGAGGCCAGCCTAAGTGCAGAGCTCACTGAGGCCTGCCCAAGAGTGAACTTGCATGTTCAGCCTTCCAAGTCCTACCCCTGTCTGTCATGTTGATTGACCTATGTGTTCTATTAAAGAGGTACAACGTGTCATTTGTTATGAATTCAAAACCTTAGTTTCATTCCAAGAACACACAGTGATATTCGGTATATACTGTAAAGATGTAGAGGAGGGTCCCTCTATGTCTTCTTCAGAACAGAGGGGATGCTTGGTATGTTCTTAGAAACCTTATTAACTCAAAGAAGCCTTGGAGGAGGGGGGCTTCTGAGGTAATGTTCTGTTCCACAGTTGTGTTCAGTTTGTGAAAACTCAAGCACTGTAGAGAGGCTGCAGCTAACCTTTCTATGTTTGTGTTCGCTTCAGTCAAAAGTAAGGGAATGAAACAGAATGGTTCTTCCCTCGCACTCAGCAGAGCACAGTCAGCTCCTTGTAGTTCTCTCCCGGGTGCAACATTCACCAGTCCATGGCCAGACTTCCTTCATCGGTAACCCATTTGCTTCATCTCTACCACGCTCACTGGATAACACCTCCAAAGTCAACCCCAGAATCCCACCATTTCACCCGGAAATCCCTGTCCTGTCTCATGCTGTTTTCTCTGTGTGATTTTCAGGCCACTACATGTACGTGGACTCCGTTTACATCAAGCACTTCCAGGAGGTGGCGCAGCTCATCTCCCCGATGACCACGGCCCCCATGTCCGGCTGCCTGTCGTTTTATTACCAGCTCCAACAGGACAATGACAATGTCTTCTCCCTTTATACTCGGGATGCGACCGGCCTTTATGAGGAGATCTGGAAAACCAGTGGTCCCGAGAATCCTTCCTGGAACCTCGCTGAAGTGGAGTTCAATGCCCCGTACGCCATGGAGGTGGGTGTTCCCGGTGTGACCTGGCCACTCTGCAGGGCTGCTGCCCACACGCAGGCTTAAAGGTCAGGAGGTGCTGACCTCACCCTCATTCTTTCTTTTCTGCTGTGTCTCAATCTTTTTTTTTTTGCTTTTCCCTTTCTTGGCCTCTTCCACCTCCATTTCTTTATATTCCTTTCTGCCTTCCTCCTTTATCACTTTCATTTTCTAATGAGCCTGGTTTTTCTAAGGACAACAGTGGAAAAGCCAGTCAACCAGCTAGATTTGGGGGGTACACGCTCCCTTTAAACCTTGCACTGTGGTCATGGGAAAGCAAAAGGGATCAGTGCCTTCTAAGCGAAAGTCACTCTCGAACTTTCATTCCTGAGAGCAGTTATGAAGGAATGTTGTAAGGGAAGTTGTTTCTATTCCCTTGTTTGAGGGAATAGTCTTTCTAGAGAAAAATATTATTTTCTTCTTTTTTCCTTTACAGTAAAAATAATGTCATAAATATCAGAGAGAAAGTTACAGTTGTGGCCCAAATTTGAAACAAGCTTTGGTGCTTGAGTTTAAAAATTTTTTATAGTTATGTGAATGACAAATGTCTGATGCAAAAAAATTAGAAAATTCAGGAGAGCAAAACAAACTGAAATAGCCTGGGCCAACGCTGCAAAGATGAGAACAGTAACGTTTTGGTGTTTATCCTTGAAAGGCCTTTTTTTAAGCACATATATTAATGCATCTCTATTATCTATGTATGTAGTCCTTACAGCAATCCAACAAACTAGATTAAAAAGACCCCCATATTACAGACAAGAAAGGAGAAATGGAGAGTCTAAGAAGTGTGTCACTTTTTATCTAGGTCACACAGCTGGTGAGTGCCAGGGCACTGAGACAAGTCCCTGAACTAAAATCTGACCGAGAGCTGAAGGAGGAGGCCTCGCTGTCCGAGGACCCCACGGGGCCTCTCAAATCAGTGAGGGCAGCATCGTGGTTATAGATTTGGAGCTATAGGTAGTCTTAGTCACCATGGGTTGTAACCGACCCGTACTTTTCACTTTGTGCTTTTTGCAATACCTTTCCCAGTTCCCTTTAAAGTGGAAAAGGAGTGGATTACCCTCTGCTTTTCAGTGGTGCCATCTGCTCGCCTGATGTGGAGCTTCATAGAGTGTGGGGGTTGGGTCCTGGTTTCTGTCGTGTCCTGTCTACTGATGGCCTGCCGCTCCCCTGACCCTCTTCGGGTTCCCCACTGCCCCCCACATACAGCGCCAGAAGGAGCACAGTGCCTTTTGCAGTGTGTGTGCTATTTCCTATCCCAACGGCTCTTGCAGCCCAGTGGAAATTTTTGTGTGAGCCTGGGTCACAAGGGGAAGGAGACACACACATGCTGCTTCCAAAAGTTTTCCTCCTGTTAAAGCCCGATGAGTCACACACACACTCGCACTCGGGCAGCATTTTCTCTGTCAGCTCCTTCCACCCAACCACAAACTTATGGGGCAGCATTTGTGTGGCTGAGACTTCACCATTTTTTGTAATTAAAGCTGAGATGTTACAATTCTGGGCATTACTAAACCAGTATATATTCTTTTGATTCCCACATGTGTGCTTTTGCTCCAGTCCTCTGAATTCATTATGACAGGATTATTTGCTCTCAGTAATTGCCAGGAAGAGAGATGTATCCTGCAGAAATGGCTGAATTTAATGCCATCTTCTCTGATGAATTTTTATAAAGGAAAACAAGCATTTGAGACCATCTGAGCAAGAGACCGGCACATTAGCTATGATAAGTATATTAGTACATTCTCATCCAAAATTTCATTCTATCTTGGCCTGCCCAGTAATGTAATTTCTGCCACTTACTTTCTTTATCAAGTGGCATGGGCCTGTGTTAAGAGTGTAGAACTTAATTTGCCCCTTCTCATTTGTCCACACCTGTTCTCTTTGTTCTTTGAGCCTCTCACCTTTCCAGAGACAAACTTCCAGGCCCACTCTTAGATTTTGCCAAGTCCAGGTACAAGCCTCCGCAAGACCTTGCTGTTAAACTAAGAGGGACCTTAGGAACCATCTTACCTAAACTCTTTCCCCCACCCCCAAACTGAGAAACTGACACCCAAAGAAGAGAAGGGGCCTGTTTGAGCTGATTCATGATTAACTGGGCTCAGGTCTGAATATGAGTTCGAGACAGGTCAACCTGGGGAGAAGAAGGCATGAATTTAGTTCAGAGTTTATTATGCAGCTGACTCTGTAAGCTGGGATCTTTATATATAGTTTCTCATTTAATCTCAACAGTCTTACAAAGACTGCTGTAATGGTATTTTGTGTGTGTGTGTGTGTGTGTGTTTGTTGTTTACTTCTATGTTTTCATTTCTAAATTAATGGTCAACATTTTAAAAAATCCACAGAGTTCAAGTAATCTAGAGATCCAGGTCCTCTTGACCATTTGGTAGATCCAGCTGCATTAGGCCTGACCCCCCGCCCCCCACATCAGCAGTTGACAGAGCGCAGCCGTCTTCCTTAGTCAGGGCCTGCGTTCTCCACTTCACCACGGTCTGCACCCTGTCTGCTGCATCACACCAAGCCCGCGTCATGGTCTGCCTGGCCCTTGTAGGCATTTGAGTTTCAGCCCCTACTCAGCACTGCATCGTCTCATGTGATCAGTTCATAAGAGCAGACGTCACACTTGTGTGGTTTTCTCAATACAGGCAAATGCTGTGCTCAGCACACCTGATCCTCACAGTCCCAGGTAGAAGGCAGTTCATTGAACATGGAGAAGAGAGCAAAATTAAAGGGGCCGAACACATTAACCCCATGTTTTTTCTAACCATTCAAACATGCCTAGAATTCTGATGTCCGTGTATAGAATCTCTGGGCCTGATTATGCTTTAGCCATCAGAATTGATTGCTACATCTTTGTCCAGGACCCTCACATAGAGTTTCATGCATGAAAAAGGGCAAGAGACTTAGAGGGGCTTAGTTCTCTGTGAAGTGGAGGAAGTGAACCTAAACAGCTTTCTGCAAGGAACCTGTTGTTCCTTTCATTGAAGTTCGTAAGGCAGATTGTCAGTTCTGTAGTTCTGTCAGAAAAGTGACATGGGTACCTTAGCTGACACACAAGGGAGAGGAAAAATTCACCAATAAAATACAACTTAGGGCTTAGTATTTCCTTTTCCAAAAAGAGACCACGGGTTGCAGAGGGAGCTGCCCGAATCCCTCTGTGCAGGAACATGGTTCCATAAGTACTTACAACTTGGCATCTCCTGGCTCATTGGCACATCATTTTAAATCACAAATAAAGGCACTCAAGCCTAACAGGAGATATGTAAACCTGCAGCACACGATGTCATTTTCCTTTGTAGGTTATTTTTGAAGTTGCTTTCAACGGTCCCAAAGGAGGATATGTTGCCTTGGATGATATTTCTTTCTCTCCTGTTCACTGCCAAAACCAGACAGGTAAGCAATTCTTTTTCCTTCTTCCTCACGTTTGGAATTTTCCTTCTCCATATATGCCTGTGGTCAGGATTTGCTTGAATTCTTTCTAATTTCCTTACCTTTTCTATGATCTCATCCTTCAAAAAATTATTTAACTGAATAATCATTCTTCTGGTATATAATTTTTTTTTCTTCCCACAGAATGAATCTTATTTTTCTGTCACCACAGGCTCATGACAAGTGTCGAGTTTTCATCTCCCTTGCCTATTAGGAAGTGAAAATTAAATAATACTCATTCTTTTTCCATCTTTCTCTTTAATGAATATCTTGAGTTCATAGACAGATGGATGTGTAGGTAGAAAAAAATCTCAATATCTACTGAGTATAATTATGAAGACTCTTTCCAATGTTATGTATCCAAGACTTATAAGTGTCCTCCTGTTCAGAGACATTAGTATTTGGTATATACCTCTGTGATGGTTTTTCACTAAATATTATGTACTCAATTTAAATTCTGCTTCTAAGTAAACCCTCAGGTTACTCTATCATAGGTCATTTTGTAATTTCCATAAATGAGGTTTAGAAAAGAGAAGAAATTTTTAGTTTCTGAAAAAATAGATAAGCAAATTAATTCAAAGTGAATTAGAAAACGAATATTTTAAAATAAGTCAGACACTGTATTAGTGATAACCCAGATAAATGCAATAGACCTTGCCTTTTAGCGACCTTCCTTCCTTGAGAGCCCCCAGTGGGACACTGTAGTCTCCCCAGTTTATTTTCGAGCCCTTGTTTTGGATTATGGAGCATGGAAAGTACATTTTTGAATGTGGCCTTTATAGTCTGGCTTTCACTTAAGACAGAGATAGCCTCTGATTTGATATGGTTTCAAATATATTCTACAAGCAAAGGGACTAAGAAAACATTTTCCACCTCAGGCTAAACCATTACCCCCAAATTAGAGAGAAATGTACTAATTTGCTGAAACCAAATACTATTTTTACTAATTCTAATTTTTAAATAAAAGCTAGTGAAACAGAAGAAATCAGGCTGGATTTACATATTTTCATGAAAGTTACTTAAATTAAACTAAAAAACTAAAAGAGTCTCTAAATTTGGCAGAACACAAAAGCCAAAATTGTTTTACCTCTCAAAATCTGGTTGTTCCCTAATTCCATCTCCAATTAATATTTCAGTGCTGTTAACAGTAGTTTCAAAACCTCTTTACCATCATTTTTAGAAAGTTTTTTTGGTCACTAAGCATTTACAATGAACATTTATACTTCCCAGTGACACATGTGTGAGAAGACGTGTTTATTGAAGGTCTGGACTGGGTAGTGGCTCGGGTGAAGAGGCAGCTGGGAGGTCACTGAACCTATGGAGCCACCTCAGAAGTGATGTTTGGAAATACTTCCCTTTTTAACAGATACAGAATATATGTGTGCTCCTTCCTACTGACTGGTGAGCGGGAAAGAAAGACTCCAGGAAAATAAGGACCATGTACTGAAGGGGCTGGTGGCACCTCAGGCTGTATAGTCCAGCCCACGTGAAAACCCTCCCTCCCCAAGGACCACCAGAGACTCACATTTTTATATGGTTAGGTCAACCAGGACTCCAAATTGGTCTTCAGAACTTCCCAACATACTAACTTTGCTTTTAGAGTGGTTTAAACACATGATCACAGTGTTATGCTCAAGACCCAGGACTTTGATTCACATCTCTACCCTGCCACTTGCAAGCTGTGTGACCTTGGGCTTCTTAACTAACCTCTCTGTGACTCTCTCCACATTTGTACAAGGATGGAAGAATCTGTTCCACAGTGTTGTCAGGAATATTGATAAGTTATTGTCTATGAAGGTCTTAGCAGATATGCCAGATAGAAAATGCTTGCTCGTGAAATTTAACACTATTTACTTCATTTTCAAAATACTCCCATCCATTCCCTGGAGAACAGGGGCTCAGACCAAAACTGAAAGAAGCAGCAAAGGGCACTGGCTTGATGAATGTGGAAGCCAGAGGGGCTTTGTGTCTTTCATTAAGCATCTGTGAGTCAGATTCTGAGCCTTAAAAGCTGAGCCCTTTAGCTTTCATACTTCATTTTACATTTTACAAATAGTTTATGCCCTTCTGTTTCAAAACAGGTGCCAACATTTTTTTAAATTTTGGTTAGCTCCAGACTTGTTGTCTCTGTTTTTCCCAGCTGGATCTAGCATCTTCCCATGCCTCCTAGGAGGCCAAGACAGGAATTATTTCTATACATGGAGCATTTCATTCCTACAGTCTGGTTGGGCTTAGAATTAATCCAGTTTTCCTGACCTGAGACCCCTCACAGAGTCACAGGGGTCGAACTCCAATGTCATGTTGGTCTCTGAGTATTTCCCCTGAATGTTCCAGAGGATAGCGAGACATCCCCACTCCCCCAACTTTGAGTTCCAGGACTTCCCTTTCCAAGCCTTTTCTACCCCAAAACTCCCTCCCTTCCACCATGAGATCTAGAGTCTAGATCATAGGAGTAGGCTCTACTTTAAAGCTGTTAATCCTTGCATGCCTAACAGGTGATTCCATTCACTTCTAAGAATCCTACCTTTACACTCAACCCCAACTGCAAGCTTCACTGCTCTGACCTGTGCAGGCTCAACCTCCTTTCTGAGCCTGGGTCCGCCCCATACACAGGATGGACTGAGGGGCCAACACTTGTGGATATATCTCACAGGATGTCGCTAAATCCCAATCTTGACCACTCTTGTTATTCACCAATAACAGTGTACTACCCAGACCTCTTCTTCCATCGAAAACCTGGCTCCAGTTGTTGCCTTGGTTCCAGCTGAAGTTGCCACCGCCTTCCTTAGCTCAGAGGCCCTGAAGCATCTCCCCAGGCTGGTCACTGGCCCAGCCTCTGCTCCATCATGATGCCTTGGTCTGGTGCCAGTTCCCACTCACCCTCTTCCCCAAGCCAGCTTTGAGCTGCCTCAGCCTGCTTGTGGGCTGGCTTGTGCTACAGTAAAACTACCCTGCAAATTCAGTAGCCTGAAGAGCACACAGTACCCAGAATCCCCTTAGCATCGCAGGGGCTGATGAGCCCTTTAGATCTGTAGGACTGACACTGAGTGCACCTCCATGAACTCCAAGAAGCAGCGAAAAGAAACACACTCCCACTGATTCTTCTCAAACTGCAGGACCCTCTGTCTGATTAGGTTCTCTTCAAAGCCTCTCATTTCTAAAAAGTTCAAATGTCAGAATGCGAGGTATTAACTAATTCTTACATTATAATGCTTATTGGTACCTTGCTGGGGACCTTCTTTTCTGATCAGCTGCTCCTCAGGGGTTCCCAACTGCCTGATCCCTCCCTGTGCTTCAAATACTGTGTCCTCTTAACACTCCCCAGTAGCTCAGTTGTGATCCTGCTTGACCAGGTGCCTCTGAAACAAGCCTGCAGCAAAGGCTCCCCAGCTCAGATCTCTGAGGAGCTTGTTGGGCCACAGACAGGCCTCCGAGCCCCATCTTCAGGAAATAAAGATTATCTCATGGTCAAAAAAGCATTCTGAGTAAAACAAATTGGGCCCCGAGGTATGCTTTTGAGATTTTCTTTTTATCAGACCTTCTCAGAATCCTGGACAAATCTATTTTTAGGACTAGGTATTAATTTCATCCTCAGAAAAAATCTTTTGTGGATGACTCAGTTTGCCACCATGGAGGAAGCTGGTCCTTGCTTACTTTCAGGTTTTAATACCATCTCCCACCCTCTCCTATATACTTCATAAGTGGGTTATGGTTCTCTTGTTGGCCACCCAGGGGTATATTTCTTGCTGTACACTCCTGATGAGTAATTTTGGGACTGCTGTTTTCATTGAGCATGGCTTTGGGGAATGCCACACCGTTTTCTGAGCTAGACAGCCATCTGTAGATTTTAAATTTTCATCTGCTTTTTCATAACTAGTTGACAGAGGGTGACTAAGACCAGAGGCCATTGTGGGGTTTCCTGTGGCATCAAATCTCCATGGAGGGGTGGCAAAGGATCTTTGTATGAGGTCATTTTCATTTTCGGAGGACTGTCTTCATGGCTTGGAGATGCCCCCCGCTCCTGGCAGAGGGAGGCAGAGCAGTGCGGGCTAATCTCCCAGTCTCAGAGCTGAGGCCTCTCCTCCCTCCCTTTTCTGGCTCATCAGGGCGCTCATTCCAGACACTTGCCAGCGTGTCTCATCTGAGATACAGTCGGGTACCAGTTATATGAGAACATTGTCTTCCTATTATTTTCTTTGTAATGTTAGTCACATTTTTTTCTAATTTAGTGTTTCTAGGACTCTGTATTTTTGTGTATTTCAAACTCAGACAGAATTTGCGAGAATACTGTCAAGAACTCCCATATATTCTCTCCACTCAAATGTACAATAGAAATTATTAACCTTTTGCCACATTTGCTTTATCAACCATTTCAGAGAAGGCTGTGGACATTCTACCCCCTTCTTACCCCTAAATACATCAATGTGTGTTTTCTAAAACCAAACACATTCTTTAACATAATTATTAAGTTCAGGAAATTTAACACCGATTGAGTGTTATCAACTAAACCATAGGCAATATGCTGATTTGCCAGTGGCCTCGAGAATGACACTATAGCTGTAGGTTTTCCTGGGCCAAGGTCAAGTCTCGGGCCCCTTGTAGCATTTGGTTGTCATGCCTCTTTTGTCTCCTTAGTCTGAGCCAGCTCCTCAGCCCCTTCAAATGTTTTCTTCCTTTGAAAATTGATAAATGAACAGTATACTGAGTCTTTGTCTCTCTGAACAGCCCACTGCTCCCAGACCCCACATCTCCCCTTAGAGATGGTTTTCCTGGTATTCAGAACAATGCCCCCTCTCTCATGCCCTGAAACATTAGACCAGTGGATGTCAGCATGCAGAACAAGATCCCACTTGGCTACATTGAATGTGTCCCAAACTGTCACATTCCCTCCAGGCTCTGAGGGCAACAAGCACATTGAGATTTGCAATGACTTGTTGCTAGGAACAAGTTATTCTTAGAAGAACAGAAATTGTGTTCCCTTCCCTTCAGGCAATCTAATCTGAGGTGGTATTTATAAACAAATGATACTGGAGCTCAGCAAAAGCCCAAACAATAGGAGTATGGGTGAGAGAATCGGTGTGTTTTTGAAGAGCATCACTTGCACTGAGTAGTGATTTGCTCTCAGCAGATAGGCTCCTGCTACAAATGTCAGTTATGCATGGATGGAGGCTGTGCTTCTGACACAGATTAATCAACAGAAGAAAATTAGCCCTGGCTGGTATAGCTCAGTGGATTGAGTGCGGGCTTGTGAACCAAAAGATCGCAGTTTGATTCCCAGTCAGGGCATATGCCTGGGTTGCAGGCCAGTTCCCAGCAGGAAATGCACAATAGGCAACCATACATTGATATTTCTCTCCTTCTCTCCTTCCCTTCCCCTCTAAAGATAAATAAATTTTTTTAAAAAAGGAAATTATTTCTGGAAAAGATTATTTCTAAAATATATGTATTAAAAAGAAATTTAAAATTTCCTAAAATATTTACCTTTTCTCTTTTTAATTTTGTATGAATAAATTTTGAATTGTGAATTATGTGGATAAGTGCTTTTAGTTTTTACAGCATGAAAGGATATTTCTTTTGAAGTCTGGCACTTCTGTATTTTTGTATAGAACATAAAAATAACCCCTTCTTTCCATCCCTTTAGGGAGGAAAAAAACAATTTTCCTGTCATGCTGACATGTTGGTTTGATGCTAACCTGTCACCATGCCATTAGGGTAAAAACATTTTGTCATGTTTTACCTCTCTGGTCTCCCCTGGCACAAATGTGTACATATTTGTCAATCAGTTGAGGTAGTCCTTTGAGAACCTTGGTTTGAGCTCGCTTTCACTTTGGTTCTCCTTTGCACAGAGCTTCCTTTCAGTGCCTCAGAAGCAAGCTGCAATTTTGAGGAAGATCTCTGCAACTTTTACCGAGACAAAGGTCAAGTCTGGACCCGAGTAAAAGTAAAGCCAAACATGTATTGGGCTGGTGACCACACTTCCGGCTTAGGTAAACCAGAAATCTATCCATGTGGGGACTTTGGCCGTGGTGGGGGGGATGGTGGAGGTGAGGAAGGGGGTGGGTAGTGTTCATGCTCCGTTCTCCATTCTTATTCCACACCTACCAAGGCACCACCTTTTAAAAGGGCAGCTGTAAAGAAGCAAAGACAAATGGTATTTGACCATTTTTTAAAACTGGAGTTCAAGTTGCTGGGCTAGCAGAAGTATTTGCCAATTAAATAATAAAGTTTTGGAAATTATCTTGGTCTTTAAATGGAGAAGTACATTTTCAAAGCTATAGTAGTCCATTTATATGAAATATGCAGAATAGGCAATTTATACACAAAAAGGTTGGGAGTTGCCATGGGCTAGGAGGGGGAAGTGGGGAGTTAACTGTTTAAGGGGTACAGAATTTCCTTTCGGGGTGATGAACATGGTCTGGAACTACATAGCAGTAGTGGTTGTACAGTATAATGAATGTACTAGATGCCAATGAATTGTATACTTAAAAATGATTGAAATGGTCAGTGTTATGTTATGGGCATTTTACTACAATAAAAAATATATTGTGGAGGAATAAAAGCTATTGGAGATGTTGGGTGGGCACGTGATGGGTATATCTATAAGGAACTCTTAGATACCAGTTTGAACTCCCTGTAAAAGGATTGCATATCACCGAGTGGTCAAATACATAGCGATTGCACATCGCTGAGTGAGCTCCCTTGCAGAGGTCACTTCAGTTGAAACCGGTTGGTTCTCGAGGGGTTAGTGCCTCATTCATTCAACAATTACTGATACACTGGGAATGGGGTGAATTTACCAGAAAGCTGACAAAACTTCAGTTTCAGGACCCCTCCCTTGCATGGGCCGGAGGGAAAATCTTGCAATGGGCCTTTGCAATATGATACTTGGAATTGTGCTTTATTCTTTCAGAGTTTGCTTAACTTGTCAAAAAATAGGCCCTACAAAAACCTATTCTGACCTTAGCCAGACTAACTCCTGGGGGCACAGTAGTGAACAAGTCAGGTATGAAGCTTGTCCTCTCTGGCTGACAGTCATTTCAGTGGAGAGGAGAAAAATTAGGCAAATATATACACAAAATAACTCATAATTACAACCTGCGCTGAAGGTTGTAATACAAGAAATGATGAAGAGTGAGCTTTGAGAGGTAACTGAGGAAGGAACGTAGTATTGATTGGGGACCCAGGGAGCCCACTTCTGAGTGAAGAGGATATCAGCCAGGAGGGCGGAGGCCATGCAGGCAGAGGGAATGGCACCTGTGGAGACCTTGAGCTTGGAAAGAGCGGGACACTCCCAGAAGAGGGAAGGTTAGTGTGGCTGCACCGTGGGGAGGAGAATGCAGGAACACGAAGTTACAGAGGGAGACAGATCATGGGTGTAGCAGGCCAGAGTAAACATTTGGGATTTTATCATAAAGGGAATGACAAGCCATGAAAGGTGTTAAGTAGAGAAGATAGTGATTAAATTTAGGTTTAAAGGGATTGCTGGCTAATGTACGGTCACCTGTTTGCTTGGGCAGCCGTAACAAAATACTGCAGACTGGATGGCTCACACAACAGAAGTTTATTTTCTCACAGGTCTGGAGGCTGGAAGTCCGAGATCAAGGTGCTGTCAGGGTTGGTTTCTTGTGAGACCTCTCTTCCTGGCTTGTCGATTGCATCTTCCCAGCGTGTCCTCACATGGCCTTTCCTGTGTGTGTACATGTGGAGAGAGATCTCGGGTGTCTCATCCTCGTCTAATGACACCAGGCCTGTAGGATTGAAGCCCCACACTTATAACTTCACTTAACCTTAATTACCTTCTTAAAGGTCCTCTGTCGAATGCAGTCACATTGCCGGTCAGGGATTCACCAGACTCATATACAATTCAGTTCATAATACCACCCTGTGAAATAGCGAACAGAACTTTTTGCCAAATGTGTGAAATAATTGGGTAAAACTTATCTCCATACCTAAGACTGAGGCACCCAAAAAAATGTAAAGGGGGAGGAGCAGAAAAGGAAAAGAAAAAATGTCCAGTACAGCAGGTCCTGAAATAACGCCATTTCATTCTACCTCATTATGCTAAAATGCTGACGAGATGCTGTAGGAACTTAACTCTCGTTTACATCAGTTAGCATATGGTACAACTGGTTTCCTTTGATGTCTTTTCACTTAAGTCACAGACCCTATCGATGACTTTAAGTGAAGGGTTCCTGTATTTTTTCCTTTTGCCCAGGCTTTCTAAGATGCACAGACCTGTTTTAGGTTTACTGTGGGAGTGGTAGAGCGGGTGGGAGGGAGGTTATTGATGCTATTTTCCTTTATGTTATTTAGAAGGAGTAAGGGAAGAACACAGGACTTCTGATTACAAACCTGGCCTTCAGGGGCAGGTTTAACATGTGACCAGGACTGCCAGGCCAGCCCGTAGTCTCCCATCTCCACTGGTCCCTGCAGAGAGAAGGGAAAGTCTGCTCTGGGCTTCATGTTCACTGTGACTCAGTAGCTGTATGACCCATGATCATGCAAATTATAAATGCTGACTGATGACCAGAATCTGGGCATATGCAGTTGGAAATCTATACTTGTTTATGAAGCTTACTTAGAATTGGCGGTTTATTGGCATTATAGAATAAGTATATTCTATCATTAAACCACAAATATTAGAAATGCTTTACCATTTAAAGCCGATGGAAATAGTCTTTTGACAAATTCTACTACCTGAACCAAACTTTTGCACTTGATGGTCTGGGTTAGGTTATTTGAGCTTCATTGCTGATACACTGACTGCTTCGTCCTGTTCACAGGGTTTTACTTGCTGGCCAACACAAAGTTTACATCTCAGCCTGGCTACATTGGAAGGCTCTACGGTCCCACCCTGCCTGCAAACTTGCAGTATTGCCTACGTTTTTATTACTCCATCTATGGGTTTTTTAAAATGAGTGACACCCTGGCTGTTTATATCTTTGAAGAGAACCACGTGGTTCAAGAGAAGATCTGGTCCGTTATGGAATCCCCAAGGGGTGTTTGGATGCAAGCAGAAATATCCTTTAAGAAGCCCATGCCTACCAAGGTACCGTGGAACCACCACAGCCCTTTATATCATATGCAGTTGCTGGACTGGATTAATGAATTTCTGTTTAATTATTTTCAACTGGTGATGAGGTATTTTTCTTCTTTTCAAGCTGACAGTCCCACACCCACATGCTGTCCCCAGCCATGCACAATTATATCCTTCAGTTCCTTCCAGTTTTCTGTGTCTCAGAATCATGGCCACCGGGGGAGTTTGCTTGTTGTTTGTTTCCTATATTCCCTGAGGGTAGTTGAAAAATGGGAAATATGTTAATAGTCCAAGTTTAACAGCTAAACTTTAGTTTGAAGCCACAGTTCTCACACACACACACACACACACACACAGGAGCAGACTTGTACCAGACTGACACAATTGGGGATGCACCAGAAATTAATAAAATTTTTGGTTGTACTCCATACTCTATTTTGCTAATGTTTTTAAAAAGGGTTATAATAACCATTTAATTCATTCACTTGGCTCTCATTTATTTATTCATTCATCCATTTATTTATTCCATTATTCAACCAGCATTTATTAGGCATCTGCTCAGGAGATATGAAGATAAATGAGGCTGAGATTCACCCTTAAGGAGATCACAGATGACAGAAAATTCAGATGCAGATACATAAGCATCTAACAACACATGAACTCACTATCTCACAGAAAAGCAGTAGAGAAAACTAGAGGAGGGGTTCTGCCAACTGGAAGCATAAAAATAGTAACAAACAGAGGCCCCACTGCATAGTGAACATTGGAGGGCTAATGTTCAGACCCTGCTGGATCCTACCTCCTGCCCCCACCCCCCACACTCCAACCTTTTCCCCACATCCTCTACTTACAAACACATGGGCTGTTTAGAAATCTGCCTGTTTCCTTAGAGTGAGTCCCAGCTCTTCCCCTACTTGCACAGAATGGAAGCAAGCCATCCAGCAAATAAGGGTGCCTCAGAGAATGTTTCCTTTTCTTCTTTCCCTCCCTCCCTGCAACTGCACCCTTCCTCCCCAGTCACTGAAGGAGAAGTGGATGGAGACACAGAGGGGCCAGGGAAGTTCTTTCTTACAGCTTCAGAAGGAACTCCCCAGTGCCTATGAGGCACACGAAGCTCTGCACACATGTCTGAAGGTGGCCCGTAGTCCCCACAGCTCCCTGCTAAAGACAGCCAGCTCCGCAGAGAACGGGAGACCGTTTGACATCCACCACAGAGGCATGCGTTAAGTAAAGGAGGAAATGAAAGTTCACTGACGCTGACATATACAGATGGAAATAGCATGCAAACTGTATTTCAGAAAAGGGATAAAATGAAAAGTCACATTTTCCCTTACCGCTCCCTATCCTGGAACTCAAACTTCGACTCTACTTTTTCTTCCTGACAATTTCCTCTATAATTTTAAATATTTTGTATTTCCACCTTCATTTCTTGATTCATTAACCTTAACAGTATTTGCTGACACCCCGCAGTATTTTTAAGGCATTTAGCTTATTTGTACTGTACCATTTCTTCTCCTTTTCTTTCTCCTCACATCAGTTACATTTTTAGTTTCTACTTTTTTCTCGATTCCCTTTATAACTTTAATTCACTTAACCATCTATTTTTGGACCCATAAACTTTAGATAGTGTCTCTTAACACCCACTATGGAAGGTGAATAAACTTTTACCCCTACATTTCCCTTCACCTCTTTGGCCCCTCCGCTTCTCAAAGTCTTTCAGCTATACAATTGCTTTTGCACCATCACAACTTATAACATTTGTATTCCTACAGTGAAGTGTCTGGCTTTACCGATGGCTGGATTTTTTAGTGTGGCCCCCTTGGCATTTGGGAGATGGCCTTTGGGGCGCATTCCTCACATTACTGGGTTTTTAACATCTGCAGTTACTACAGCAACCCAAATTATTTTCACACATTTCCAGGTGGCCCAGAGGTGCTATACCATCCTTGGAAGAGAACCACTGTCTATAAGTTGATTCTGAAAGTTGAAATAAAAAATCCCTTCCCTCCTGCAATCCACTCTTGCCCTGCTCTGATCTGGGTTCCCCAGGCAGCAAAGTTCTCACGAGGAAGCCTTCCCCTGTAGAAACTGTAGGGCTTCCTATGGCTCTTAGGGAAAGGGCTCGGACATGAGTCCCCCTTCCAGCTCGTCTCTTGCTCTCTCCATTTGAGCTGCACTGCACAGGTCATTCCTGGAACACACTCTGCTTTCTCCTACCCTGTTTCCTCTGCCTCAACTCCTCTTAATTTGATCACAGCTTACACCACACTTCCACAGAGTATCCTTTTCTGGCCCCCAAGATATATTAGGGTTCCCTGGGCATTCCAGGCCTCCGTGTGGCCTCCATGAGACACTATAGCACAGCAGTTAGGAGCATAGACACAGGAGCCTCTAGTTCCAAATCCTCATTCCAAATCCAATTCCTGATTTTGCAATCTTCATTTTTTTTAAATTAAAGTGTAACTGACCTTAATATAGTAATATAATAATAGAATATTAATATATTCATATCATATATTATGTATAAGGTTATATTAATATAATAAAGTAAAATAACACTTTTAATATATGTAGTGTGTATCACAATATAATACAGTCATGTGTATAACTAACATTTTATTCATTTCAGGATGTAAGATAATGATTCAATATTTGTACATATTGGAAAATGATCAGTACAATAAGTCCAGTTAACATCCATCACCTTACATAGTAACAAAAATTTTTTTCTTATGATGAGAACTTTTAAGATCGACTCTCTGAGCAACTTTCAAATATGCAGCACAGTGTTAATAGTTACTATGCTGTACATTACATCCCCATGACATTTATTTCATAATCGGAAGTTTGTACCTTTTTATCCTGTTCACCGGTTTCCCCCACCCCTACACACCCGCCTCTGGCGGCCGCCAGTCTGTTCCCTTGAGGGTTTGTTCCGTGTTGTTTTGTTTTGCTGCATTAGATTCCATGTAAATGAGACCCTACGGTGTTTATCTTTCTCTGTCTGACATTTTTCAATTAGCGTGATGCCCTTCCCACAGTTGTTACCAATGGCAAGATGTCCCTCTTTTTTATGACTGCATAATATTCTCTTGTTTTTTTTTTTAATCTCTTTCTTTCTTACTTTCCTGGTGGGAACCCAAAACCTAGAGGACACTTGGCACACAAGTGCTGCTCAGTAATCGTCTGTGGGATGACTGTTGGGTTCTGACTCTGAGCAGCGGTTGTTGACCCTCATTAGAATCACCTGGGAGGCCTTTAAAATGTGGATGCTCGAGATGCTCATTGTCCATTTCTCTTCTCCCATAAAAATACAACCTTCATAAGGACAGACCCTGTCGGTCTTGTTCATTTCTGTATCTGTAGCACTGTGCCTGGTGCAAAGTAGATAATCAGTAACATGTTGATCAATAAATTTGGTCCTGTACTTATGTGGTCAATGAATAAATAGAAGAATAATGAAAATCAATTAAAAAGTAAAATAACTTTACTTTTTGAAAGTAAAGTTCATTAAACTTTACTTTAATGAAAATCAAATTAAAAAGTAAAATAATCAAATAAAAAGTAAAATAAATGAGTTGACTTCCTAAGGCTGGTAAGTGGCAGAGCTGGGATTTCAACCATGGTCTATGCAACTCTGAAGCTTGCCCTTTGGAGTTTTTATTTGGATATTCAAAGTTTTTATCCTTGGGGCATAGACATCTCCTATTTTATTTTATTTAATTCTTACAACATTCCTGTAAGGAAAAGAATAGATCTCTTTTAATGCCCGTAGCATCCTAGAATGCAGAGTAAGACTAACCCAAGGTCATGTTCTACTAGAAATGAATGTCTAAACTCAGAGCTTAAGGCCGCACTGTTGTGGGAAAGAACCTTCCTTGCCTCTGTTTTATGTCCTTGCCACCCCAGTCCTGAAGCAGTTGAGTGTGATTAGTCAGGGCCCAAATCAAAGAGAGCGAATGGCTGCATTTCACTCCCATTCCATAGCTCAAAAGCCACATATTGGAATTTTGACTGCACCTAGTCTAATCTCAATGCTAATTTTCACTTTAGAAATGTTTGGTATGTTTGCGTATGCTGCTTACTCCAAGTAATAACAACAACCCTTTACATTTGCATTGCTTGTTAGTATAACCTGCTTTTGTGAACATTATTTTCACCTTTCAGGGAGCTGTCACGTGAAACCAGAGCTGAGCTGTGTGCTGGGCAGCCTGGGCAGAGCTGGAGAGAAGTCCCAACTTTCAGCTTCTCCCCCCTGGTTTCTCCTCCCTGACTCCTAATACCTACATGCTACCTTATCTGTGCCTTCCCAGATGCGTTCACTCTGGGCGTTTCTTTGACCTTTCTTTCCCTTATTAGTTCTTGCCCAGCCTGTTTTGAGTGCAATGGACTGAGTCAATTAACAATTCCCTTGCTATCTCCCCTGGCATGTCTACTGTTTAATGGAAACTATTATACACAGCTCTATTTAAGGAATGATAGCAATGTTAAGAATTTCCCTGAAACCTTTCTAGCAAAGTAGCTGTGCGATGGACTCTGTGTGATGTTGTCACTGAACAGTTTCTCTGCACCAGGCAACATGCTGAGCATTTGTTTGATGCTACTGCACCCTAGGAAGGAAAGTGTTATAGCCGCATATAAATGGTGAGGAAAGCTTGAGCAGAAATGTAAAGGCATTGTTTGACAGCACACACCTATTAAATGGCAAAGCTGAGAGGTAAATCCAGGCCTTTTGGACTCTAGACTCCTTGCTTAAAAAAAATTACACTTGACATTCATTATTAGTTTCAGGTATATAGCATCATGGTTAGACATTTGTATAACCTACGAGATAGTCCCCCTGGTAAGTCTAGTACCCACCTGACACTGTACATAGTTATTACAATATCATGGACTATATTCCCTGTGCTGTGCTTTACATCCCCGTGACTGTACTATACTTCTTAATTGCTTCACCTTTTTCACCCATGCTTTTTTAAAAGATTTTATTTACTTATCTTTAGAGGGGAAAG